AATGACAGAAAATTCAAGCAACAATATTTAAGAGTGCCGAACAATGGTATCAAAATCTTCTTGAGAAAAAGTGATAGTATTGAAAGAGATGGTTGGAGTGAAAACACCATTAATTTCACTATGAACATGACCACAATCAGTAAAGCCTCCACAATCATGGCTGTCATTGCCACTACGATCCCCATAATAAGGATAGAATAAGAAAAGCAATGAGAAGAAAGACAAAACACTATTAACCTAAAGAACCATCTAGAGAGTAGTTACATTGTTGGAGATTATAAAATTTACCATCAAGAGAGATTGTCTATCCTAAACTTATATATGGAGCTTAGTGCAAAATGCAGTAATAAAAAATTCCTTCTATTATCTCTTCCATGCTGTTAGGTCAATGCGCTCGCCCCACTTACCCTGCAGGGTACCATAATATTGAAGGATGGGTTGACCATTGCATTTTAGAGATAACAAGTCAAGAAAATAGTAGATAACCTAGAAATATTACTTTTATGGAACTAGGTAAGCGAAGAAAATCCTATATTAGTAACAATAGCAAGAGGAGATGACTAGATAAGGATTATAACTATCAATTACCTATCCTATGTGTTGCTCAACTTGAACTAACAAATGAAATCCATGGAGCAACAACTATAGAACCATAGAAGGAAACGACATAAAATTCAAACAAAGACACTTAAGAGTGCTTAACTAGATGTTGGAGGGAAAACACCATTGATTCCATTATGAACATGACCACAATCAGTATTGCCACCACAAACATGGCTGCCATTGCCAATAAGATCCCCATAATAAGTATAGAATAAGAAAATCAATGAGAAGTAAGACAAAACACTAGTAACCCAAAGAACCATCTACAAAGTAGTTACATTGCTGGAAATTATAAAATCTGCCATCAATGGAGATAGTTTATGCTAAAGTTATATATGGAGCTGATTACAAAATACAATAATAAAAATTCCTTATTTTATCTTTTCCATACTATTAGGTCAACACGCTCCCCCACTTACCCTGTAGGGGTATCACAATATTCAAGGATGGGTTGAACATTCCTTTTAGAGATAACAAGTCAAGAAAATGGTATAAAGCCTAGAAATATTACTTTTATGGAACTAGGTAAGCAAAAAAAATCCTTTATTACCTTCCGCTCATAAATTGGAAAGAATCAAAGAGAAGGTAGAGTGGTGGTTAGGGTTTCTAACACTACTCTAATATCATGTTGATGGAAACGCATACCATATTCAATAGAAGGCATTACTTTTAATAAGATAATGAAAACAATATCTTAAAAAATATCCAATTAAACATCATTGACTTATGGTTAAAAAACATTCCAAACATTAACACATACCAGAACTTAAAACAATATTAAATCAAATTAACAATTAAAACATAAACAATGGGATTTCATATATTGCTAACATTTAATTACTTCCACCAAACTCTCCAACTCTTATCTTTTCGTTCAAGCATCATTCTTCCCAACCTCATAGTTGTCAAAACTAATCCTCTAGTTATTAAGATTAAATCAGGCGAACTCTCTTCATGGGTTTTGACTATTTACTTCCATCCAGTCATAAATGATTGCTATTACTTTTTATTGTATGATTCACATAGTTAATAACTTCAAAGCTCAAGGTTTGTGTTAGAATTCTCTTTTTTTATTTTGTGAAATTAACAAACATAGCACACAATTCTTATGTATTTACATATCTCACACCTAAACTTTCATATTTACATACATAGCATATTGATGTTTTAAACCTATGCATGAAAAGTTGTAGTTCATTTTGAAAAAGTGATAGTAGTGCTATTTTTGATGTGATATACTTCACTTTGAAAAAGTGATAGTAGTGCTATTTTTTATGTGATATTAAAGACTTGAGTGTTATGTGCGTAAATATGAAAGTTTAGATGTGAGATAGTAAATACATACGACTTGTGTGCAATGTATGTAAATGCCCTTTTACATTTTATTGCATAACTAGTTAGAAAGGCATGGGCCTTGAGAGCTTCATTTCTCTCATATTTGAACCATAAAAATAAGATTAGGTGTGTCAAGTAGGCATGAGGATTATGCACAAATTGATGGATCGAATATAAGAAAAAACAACTCAGCAAAGCACATGCCACCTCATTATTTCTAAACCTGAGCCACCTTGTTGATATGACAAAATTTCCTCTAACATATAAATGTTAACCTCAATAGTAAAAATCGAGAACCGTCTTGAGTCAAATAATTCATATTAATTGCAATCTCAAAAAATATCCTACAAAACTCCAAATCACATCCACCCATATGTTCTAGGGTATTCTTCTTTCTAAGGTGATGTTCTAGGATATTCTTCTTTCTAATGTAAATCCACGACTCATATTTGAATGATTGACTTAGCCATCATTAAATTTCTAACCTAATTTTAGTATGAATCAATTGAGACTAGTCCATTAAACACTGCTAGTCACATAAAAATAAATGAAATTAACAACTCAATCATAAATCATTGAATTAGCTGTGCATTAGGCTTCTGACATAACCTCAATATGAATCTATCAAGTCCAATCCACCAAACAATGGTAGTCACATAAAAACGCCCTCAAACCATTTGCATTCATAATTCTCTCATTGAGAATATTCCATTTAGGTCTCGATTATAAAATCTCAAAGAAAGAGTGACTGTCATCAAGCATCATAGCCATATGAATCTACTTAAGATCCTTGATCGGAAGCAGCCTATAATTGTAATCAAATTCCCAAAACAACATAACATAAAAAACCTTGTCATTGGTGGACCAAGTCCTCCAGGTTAACCAAGAAAAACCAAACCATTGAGTCTTAGTTAGGTTAACTGCTAATCTCTTAATAATACCTCAAATCAAACCCAAATATAGCCATAGCCAATGTAGAGTACATGTCATGTGCTTAATCGAAAGTGCTCTTTTACATTACCGCTAAAATGTGATGAACTATGGAGCTTGAGCCCATGGGCAATCTTGATCCCTCAGATCTAATATAAACTCTAGATATTCTGAACTCTCCAAGAGATATCTCTCAGAAAGTAGAATAATCTACCCAAGAAAACTCCGACTGCTCAGCAGCATATCCCTAGACTTGAAAAAGTCCAAAGGAAGAAATCACCCAACATGCTGATAAGCACCTCGGCACCTCCATAGCAAACAATAAATGATCAATTTAATAACAAAAAGTCATAAAGGGCGTATCAATAAATTTTGATGTTGCTAAGAACTTCAAAAGAATATTTTTGTCAGAAAAACATTGTACATGCTGATAAGCACCTCGGCACCTCCATAGCCCACAATAAATGATCAATTTAATAACAAAAAGTCATATAGAGCGTATCAATAAATTTTGATGTTGCTAAGAACTTCAAAAGAATATTTTTGTCAGAAAAACATTGTCCCAACTCGCTTAAGAAAATCTTATATTTTTGGCAAGGACAGCACAGCCATACTTACAAAATTAGTAGCATGAAGAAAATTAAAGAAAAAAGTTAGATGGTTAGCCTGCTGCTTATAGAACTATTAAATAAAGAAGAACCTTAGCTGATAAATTAGAACCATAGATTTCAAATTAATTGCTTCGAGTGGATGGTTAATAACATTTTACAAATCTGGTCACAAGACTACCCACAGAATAAAATGTACAAATTCACATGAAAAAACAATGATATATGACTAAATCGCAGGTATATGTTCCTATAATTATTATGCTTATTAATGCGTAAACCGCAAGTCCACAAATTTCGATCACAAGGTAAAAGTGCCATAAATAAACTTAGTAATTGATAAAAATATTTCTTGATCTGCAAGAGATAATTCTGAGCACTGCATCAAATAGAAAAAAGACTTTGTTATTGTTGTTGTTGTAAGTTTAAATCTTGTTGCCCATACAAGAAAAAATAAAACTTTAGATGAAAAACCATCCCATCTTTTATAAAGCATAATAAATATCACTTGACATTTGAGATTTCACTTTATATTTATGAGTCGTTTGTTTGCTGAAATGAATGCAATATAAAAGGTTTGCAAAGTATTATGATTAGAATGTATTTGAAATACTTTCGAGCTATTTGGTTTGTTATAAAATAAATTTAAAACTTTATGCATATATTTTTTGGTTTGAAGTAGATTGCTAACAATGTACTTAAGCAAAGGGGGGCAGGGGGCAAGGGGCAGGCGGCGGAAGCGGGCGGACAAGTGGGCGGGCAGGCGGCGAAGGAGATGGCCACGACGATGACGGAAAGAGGCTAAAGACGGTGGCAACTGAGGTTGCAAACAGCAGTTGCGGACTGCGGAGGCGGCAACGACAGAGGAGGTAGGTTGCAGCCGACGGAGACTTGCCTATAACATTTTACATGAATGATGTAATTCAAATTCGGCCACATTGACTGAATTCTAAATTCAGCCACAATAAACTACGGTGTGAAACTTTACATTGTATTTATAAATTTTCGTACCAAACACATAATTTTTTCAAATCCCTACAAAATAATTACTATACACCACTAATTCAATCAACCAAACAACCCCTTATTCCAGTTATTACTAACATATTATGAAGGTTTGCACTGAACATGTAAAAACTCAAATTTGTTAGCCCATCCTATGGCTACCATGCAGCCAAAGAAGAGCATGATTAACGACAAAAAATAAGAAAATAGTACATTCATGCCAGATAAAAATACATGTACGAAATCAGAAATTAAGATTCAAGTTCTATAGCCAGAACAAATGTTGCCTCCAACCAACTAAATTCTCATTTCCTAAAGCGTTATTGCTCGTGATGTCCTACAATTATACTGAAAATTATCAGCTAAGATAATGGCAGCAACAAAAACAGTTCCAGTTGCTGAGATGTGTATATTCACTGGAACAATTTGAATTTGAAAACTTTTTTCTAAGAACCAAAAAAAAAAAAAAAATGGAGCATAAGCCAAATAGAAATAACAAATATAACTGAGGAATACAACCTCCTGGTCACTGTGGGCCTTGCTCTGAATGACCATTACTCCACTATCAAACTTTCTAAGCATTACTGGACTGTTCAAATTAATGACAAAACAAGATTAGCCATAAAAGGAATGAATAATAAATACTGCAAGCTTGAAAAAGGTAGGTAATTGCAGAAAGAAATGCTTCTTGATGCAACACTATGTGATAATTAACCACAAAGAAGTGCTAGAACCTGAAAAAGATGGAAGGTTCTGTTGTTCATACACTTCATATTTTTCCCAAAGAGCGCAGGCTTGCAAAAGATCCTCGGGTGAGATTAATTCTGTGAAAATCAACAGAAAGTTTAAGTGAAATTCTAAGGAGAAGTACTATGAAAAGATATTTGAGAAATACCTGTTCCTCTAGCACGATTAAAAAGACAGTACACATCTATCATTGCAATCATTCCTCCAGCTTTCTCAAGCGGAAATTTCACAAAATCAGCCAACTGAAGAAAAACAAGTCATTGTCATCTCTTTATCCCAGCTATTAGGGTCAATTTTATAAATTCTCATTCTCCATGCATTCAATAAGTAAATAACACAAACTAGTTTATTTGATTCGCATGTCTAAAAAGATATTGAAGAATGCTGTGATAACAAAGATGAAAAAAACCAAATCATTGTCATCACTTTATCCCAACTATTAGGGTCAATTTTATAAATTCTCATTCTACATGCATTCAATAAGTAAATAACACAGACTAGTTTATTTGATTCGCATGTCTAAAAAGGTATTGAAGAATGCTGTGATAACAAAGATGAAAAAAAAACAAGTGGATATATGCATGTACGTACGTATGTATAACCATAAGATTAAAAAAAATAAATTAAAAACACAGACACACTTCTTATACGTGTCAAAACGTGCATAGCATACTAGAAAGTTATGTGTAATACATTTAAATTCAAAAAAGGGGCCAGACACTGCTAAAACACACCTAACATGTCTAGGACGTGCACTAACATGCTCCATACATACGATAATAGTAACTTGTTTGATTGTAAGCTGTGTTTTTCTCAAATGATAATAAATAGGCTACAACAGAAAACATTAATATTAGTAATGATGATCATGATTTGTTTGGTCTAGTGTACTAACATGCTCATGTTCAACTCGTTCGAAATTAATGTTCAAAATTGGTAGAACAATGTCATGTTCGCCTCAATTTACATATTCTTGTTCGTATAAGACCGTTGTTCAGCTCGAAATTGGTTCGTTTAAATTAATTAGAAAAATATATGTAAGGTGTTGGATTTGAACTAAAATATATAGAATTACATTACTATACAAGCTATGGTGATCTCAACTCAAATATAATTATATATAAAATATTACTATATAAATAATATATATAATTTCATTATTTCAAGCTAAAACAAACCAAACACGATTGAACAAAAGGTTGTTCGTGGTTGGGTCGTTTATAATTTGAGCTTACAAAATTTGTTTGTGTTCGGCTTGCTTACTTAACAAATGATTTGAATATGAGCTGTTTAACGAGCCGAACACGAGCTATTTGTGAACAATGTGCTTTTTTTATAGCACTAGTTTGGTCTGCCTACCTAGTGATACATAAATGCATTTATATTTTACGTATTTATGAAAAATTTTAGAGAGCATTTATATTTTACGTATTTATGAAAAATTTTAGAGAATTGATTGAGTATTTTATTCCAATGGGAAATGTACAAAATCAATGAATATTAACTAAATTAATCATAAGTCCTAAAACATAAATAGGAAGAATATTAATTACAAATAATTATAAAAGTCCATGAATTGATGAGTAGGCAAATATAGATCCCACTTATTAATTAGGTGGTAGTAAAAGAGGAAGAAAAGAGAGTGGAATTCATGGTCAATGTGTGTCCCGTTAGTTGAAATTACGCATGTCTCAAGTGAATGAATTGATATCATCCATTCCAAGCTTGCCTAATAAATTCAGAAAGACTAACCCTGATCCTTCGGTGATAATGTTAACAAATTATTCATTTGACTGCAAAGTAGAAAATAAATCATGGCTTAAAATTGCACAATATAAGGCCCATCTTATGGCCTGCCTAAACAATTTTATAAAAAATCGCAATAAGGTTTTTTTATCATTGTGCATTACATAAGGCTAACGCCACATATAATGTGAAGCCTTTCTCAAGGTGCATATTGCCTTGATTATGATGAAACACACATAATTTTGCCTTGGATTTTTCTTAATATATATATGTAAAATAACCCTAATAAAAAACCTTTATTTAGTCATAAAATACAAAGCTGAGGATATAATTGAATTACTATTAACATAGTTATTGCTTTAAAATCTAATAAATATGTTTATTAAATAATATTAATTAAATAAAAGAAACACGATTAAGATTTAAGATGATGATTGTTGAATCCCGATTTGTCCTTTGGAACACACCTAGAAGGATAGAGCGTAGGAAAGAAGAGAGAAAAGAAAGAAAATATAGAGTGCAAGATAAACAATGCAAAGGAAATTATCCATCTTTTATTCATAGCATGGTCCCTATTTTTAATAATAAAGGACCCTTGATAAAATTGCATGTTCACCCCCACTTAAGTGCAAGATAAACAATGCAAAGGAAATTATCCGTCTTTTATTCATAACATGGTCCCTATTTATAATAATAGAGGACCCTTGATAAAATTGCATGTTCACCCCCACTTCAATGGGAGTTATAGGTCTTTATTCTTATTAATTTTCCCTTTACTTAATTAGGGGTGTTACAGATCAATATTACTTCTTTTGACACATTTTTGTAATTATAATTGATACTAGCACATTTCCGTATCTATAACTGATATCGGTACCCTTTCACATCCATAACTTAAATTAACACATTTTTGTATCAGGAACAGATATTGACGTCCTTCCATAAGTTTAAGTCTCCCGATCGGCAGACCTTTGGATCGGTCGACTTAGCTGGTGTGGGTCGGCTATTTTGTATGAGTGTCGATAGACCTTCACTCCGGGAAATCGAGTGGCTTTGAGTGTGACAGTCGGTATGCCTTAAGGTGATTGGTGTAGGTATCTGTTGGCTTGGGTGACCATTCAGTAGTAGGATAGGCTTTTGGCTGATCGGTCATTCTTCGGTCAGTAGGCTATATTCAGTTGGTCGACTCCATGAGCTCTTGTAGCTTTTTTGTCACTGATCTTCGTCTTTTCTCTTTTAGACCATTTGATCACCTCGAGATTTATGTTGACAATTTTCCTGTATACAAGGATGAATGAGAAAGCATGGATACAATTAAAAGTGAGCTGATAAAGAAAGTAAATCATTATGTTTATGATTTTAAAGAAGGTTTATTAAGTGATAATAATGAATCAGGCTTTTGAATTTAAAAATTCAAAGCTTATTGGCCTATTATGTTCTTATTTTGATGGATGATAAGAATTAATTGTATCGAAGTTATTATGCCTTACTTTGATATTTGTATAATTCTTTTAGTTTTATGATTTGATATTTGGATGTTAATATGTTACTTCTTATTTTGAACAAGTTATTACTTATTACTTTTACCATATTCTAATATATTACATTTTAATCAATTAAAAGGTTAGTATATTAACAGGTTACTTCTTAATATGTGTTTTGAACTTAATATAATGTTTTCTTCTTTGCGCAATTTAATGATTTGAGGCTTACATCTCCTCACATAGAAAAAATATCTCAATACCCAATTGCGCAATTTTAAACTTCGGAATAAAGCATTATCAAACTTCTCTTCGTAAAGTGTCCATCAACTTCAATATATTTTATAATATCATATTACATGACATTATATGTGGTATTGATGATTGACTTATTATTACAATAGCACCTTATAAAACATTTTCATTCAACTTAAAAATCTTCAGGAATAATTTCTAGCCACAACAAATAACCCTGTATCATCGATCAAATTTTTACTTCTATGTTGGATCTTACCATCAAATCTTATTCTTTACTTACTCAAATCATGAGTTTGTCTCCTAAAAATGTACAATAACCTAAAATTGTCCTCATCATAAAACCAGCATAATCTACATCAAAGTACACTCCAAGAGTCAAATCCTACGCAATTTTAATACAATTCCTTTCTTTGGTGTCCTCATCAAATATGATTAAATTCTAGAAAGTCATAACATACCATTCTTTAAGGTTGTTCAAAAATTGACACCATATCAAAAACATAGACAAATTCAAATCAAACAAATGATAGGTAGATAAGTCCTCTTGTTAGTCTCTAATAGGTAGTTTTTTCTACTAATGTAATTTATAGATCATCTTTATGTTTATAATTAAATTGTAAGGGATTTTTAACAAAATTGCATTTGTGCATCTCTCTCTTTAAATATATATAATTGCTAACAATGTAC